GTCGACATATTTGACATTTTGAGTAACCCCAAACTAGATCTTAATTACAACCTAATCTTAACGATGATGAGGATCGCTGTCAGCAATTCATCCTATATATATCGCTAGATAGGCTCGAAAGAACAGTTAGAAGAATATACCGCTAGCTGCGAATGAAGANGGAGCCTGTGGAGTGTGGTGATGGACTTGAATTAAACCCATTGCGATAAAGCCCAATATGCCTAGCTAAAGGCCCAGTCCATATACCGTGTTATTGGGCTAAATAAAACAGTTAACAGATTTACTTTCGAACTGCACGCTGAAGAGGAGCTCGCGGATAACAGGTGAAATCAGTCAATTTGGAAATCTTAGAACACATGCTGAAAATATGGGATCGTGAGGAGAACGTGGCGAATAAAAGAGCACTTGAACGTAATTAACCACCTATATCAATGGAAAATAAGGCTTCTTCGAGGCCAAGTTGAATCATAATCACTTTTATCCTAAAAATCACCCGAAACTAAATACTGCGAGCTGCGCTTTGCTGTTCTTATTTTCCAACCTCATAAATCCGTTGTATTAATCTTGGTTCTTTGATCATATTAATACAAATCCATCTCGTTATTCTCAATATTTATTTATCTAAGATTCATACGAAGATCTATGCCTGAATTCCTTTTCATTAATATTAAATTCTTGGTTTTAGGTTTTTCTATCCACAATTTGGCGCTAGAAGGAAGGTAAATATAAATCTTTTTACTCATAAATCCTAGACTAGATTATCCGAAAGACGAAATGGATCAAACTCCAACAAACTCGTTGAGATATGTTCCTACTGCTCAGATCTCTAGCATGACGGTTCAGCCGGAAGCTCAAGCTCCAGCTCCACCGGTTAATGGGAGACCTGCCATCACGGCGACGGACTCCAGTGTGACTCAACGACCAGACCAGCAGGTTCAGATCCAAAGCATGACCTCAGGGGCGACGCTTCAGGCTCCAGCTCGCGCAAAAATCGGAATGGTCGGACCCAAGGGTACCAATTCGTCTCAATACTCCGAGAGCTAGATCGTTAACAACAATATCCCTTGAATCGACGAAGCTTAGTCCTCCGATCCTGATCACAAACGTTCCTGCTCTGCCAGATCGGCAGATCTCGGTCTCAGGCACGACCTCACGAACGAGCCCGTATGATTTAAGTCTGGTTGAAACAGAACGCTCAAACTCGAGAGTTTGGGTAAGACCAACTACTCCGAGAGTGGGGCTGATTCCTGCATCTGCTCTCCGAGGAGGCGGACCATAACCTCCACCTCCACCACGGACAGGTAACCCAATAACATTGCGGCTTGAATCAGTCAGATTTGGTGCCGTAGTAGATTCGACCACACCTGTTGACGCAACAAATATCCGAAGCATCCTGAGATCTCTGGTTGATATCACCAGGAGACACATAAGTTTCACTCATGGTATCGCTGCATGCATGGATCAACAGCGAGCTGATTTTGCGGTGCAAATATCAGAGCTGACCAGATCAAACGGACGACGGACTGACGATGAGGCATAGCGCTATAGGTTGCCAATTATGGCACGTTTCCCACCTCCTCGGACTGTCTTGGACTTCTCCATCGTCCATGTATCATCGTGGATTCTTGGTTATTCAGTATGCACACCCAGCGCGGCAGCATACCCCGTATTCACGCCCTCAAGCACTACAAAACTTTGGTCAAACATAGCAAGAATGTCGGTAGCTGGGGCTCGGAATAATCCTACTCTCGATAGAACAGAGAGGGAAATCCAGCCATGTGGTCCGTCACCACCTCCGTCGCCCCAAGGTGTGAAGTGCATAATGCAAGATGGCTGGGAACCTCAGCCTTCGCAGTAAGCGCCGCACCTAATCCCAAAAGGGCGAGGACAGTACGTTTCCACCTAGTCGTGACCTCTCTACCTC